ACCTTCCAGCCCGGCACGTCCTTCATGATGACGGCCTCCTCCTCCAGGTTCTCGCGCAGCATCTGCAGGACCCTGGGGCGGGGCGCGGCGGGTGAGCACCCCACGGCCCCTACCCTATCCCCGCCAACCCCCAACCCTCCCGCTTCCCTTTCTGTTTATCTGCCGTGCTGGGCATGGCACCCAAGGCCTCAGGCGTGCTAGGCAAGCACCACTGCGCCACGACCCCAGCCCTGTTCTAACGCTGTATTTTGGGACATGTCTCACTATGCTAGAACTTGCAGTCATCCTGCCTCAGCCTCCTGAGCAGCTGGGAGGGAAGGCTGGCAACCATGCCAGGCTCCCTCCCTCTGGCAAACTCCTGTCCTGTCTCCTGTCCCAGCCCTGCTGCCCCTTCCTCCGGGAAGCCTTCCTATTCTCCCCTCTGGGGTCTCCTGCAGGTCAAGTCTCTGGCCCACTCCCAAGGGAGGAAGCTGACAGACCCATGGGGCACCCCTGTGCGGGGCAAGCCTGCACCCTCCCGCCTGCTGGGCAGCCCTACCTGCGGTCCCGCTCGGCCTGCAACAGCGGCATCATCGCGATGCGGGCCTCCATCTCTTCGATCTGCAGACGCCTGTGAACCCCGACGGCGACAATGGGGTCACAGGAGGCTGCCGTGCGGGGCGGGGAGAGGAGGAAGGCTGGGGGGTGCCAGGGGGCGGAGCACCCAGGACTACTGGCTTCACACTTTCTTAGCAACTAAAAACTTTTTCCCTCTAAAAATAGCCCTGCCTGGTGACCTCGGTGCAGGAGGGCAGTCATCACGGGGCTGTGAGCCCTACAGAACCATGTCCCCTGGTCTCAGAATAACCTCAGGGTGTGAGCAGCCAGGAGGCCGTCCTCCCTTCTCCCTGCACCCTGCAATTTCCAAGATGCCACTGGCAGAGAGGCAGCCCCAGGGCCGGAGGGGAGCAGCCTTCACCGCGGGCCCCCTCGGCCCCCGCCCGTGTGGTGTGGCCTGGTTGCTACAGTGGATGATCAGCCTCGCCCCGGGGCCCGAGCAGAAGCCCCCGCGTGGCCATGTCACCAGCCTGCCCGGGGCTCCTTTTATGCCAGTGGGGTCCCCGGCCTTGGCCAGAAGGGGACCATGGACACCTGGCCACGGCTCCCTGCTTGCTGGGCCTTCCTGAGGGGAAAACAGAAATGCGCTCAGGGCCTGGACTGCGGGCTGAGGCCACAGCTGCCTGTGTCCAAGGCCACCAGCCCTGGCCACGGGACTCTCCCAGGAAGTGCAACGCCCACGCCGATGCCACCCACGCACCCGCCAGCCAGGCGCTACCTGCGCTCACGGTTCCACTTCATCATGCTCCAGTACCCGTACAGCAAGGTCCCGATGCCCAGGGCAAACATGCTGTAGCCTGCGGGGACAGGAAGACGGGCAAGGTCACGCTCCGGCCACTCCCACGCGCCCCGGCCAAGAGTGCCTGCCAGGGGCACGGGTCCCCGGGACCCAGCACTGACCTCATCTGTGCCCACCTGCCCTGCACTCTGGGGATGCCAGCCGGCTTTCATCTCACAGCCAGGCAGGGAAGGGGGCAGCCCGGGTCGACACGACTATGGCTGAGTGGCCCTGGTTCTAGCATCTTCCGGAAGCAGCCTGCCCCCATGAGGAGGGCGGCCCTGACAGCATCCACGGCTGGGTCCCAGCTCCAGGGGCTCCTGGCCACCAGGGCTACCACCTGCATGCTGCACGCACAGGACTCCATGCGGCCACCAGAGGAAGACAGTGCCGCACCGGGGGGCACTGTGACTTCCTGGCCCAGTGGGGTCAGGCCTGCGGGCTCCAGGGGAGGGACAGTGGCACCATGAATATTTACTGCGGGCCAGCGGGAGCCTGGCGCTAATCCTGACTAATCCTGACTCACTGAGGATGGGTGTGGGGCTGGCTCCCCACCACCACCACCTTCCCAGTCCGATCAGTCTCCTTCTCAGGGCCTGCTGGCTGCCAGGACAGACCACAGCTCAAGTTCACACCCAATAGGTGACCATCAACGGTGCAATGTTGCGTGAGGCCCACCAGGACTTGGGTGGCACAGGGGACCCTGCTCAGGGTCTGCTGAGGGCGGCCCATATCCCGTTCTTCCCTTTGCCAGCACCTCTGCTAGATTCTGAAGTGAATGAGAAAGTAGCTCCGGCTCTTACTGTAGAGTTCAACCTGTTAGAAACCTGTGCTCAGGACAGGGTGGGGTGGTGCACGCCTGTCATCCCCGCGCTGGGGAGGCTGAGGCAAGAGGACTGCAAATTCAAAATTAGCTTGGGCAACATAGTGAAACCCTGTCTCAAAATAAAAAAAAGGGCTGGGAATGTAGCTCCCTGTAAAGGCCCTGGGTTCCATCCCCAGTACCAAAAACAAAACGACAAGAAAAAACCCAGTAAATAAGTTCACAGATGAGAACATGCCCCAGATCGGTGCCCGAACGCACCGTGTCCCTCTCCCGCAGGAACCTGCCACAGGGCTCCCGGGGAAACGCTGGGGCCGAACAGCCAAAACCCCTCCAAAAACGTGGGACAGAGTCGCGGGACTCACACTTTCCCAGTTCCCCCCACACCACGCAGCTGTGTGTACAGGACAGCGTGGTCCTGGCACACGGGGACACGCTCAGCGGCAGGACAGAACCGAGTCCAGAAATAAACCCTCATATTTATGGTCAATTGATTCTGGACAAGGCTGCCAAGGCAATTCAACGGGAAAGAACAATCTTTTCACTAAATGGGACAACTGGACAGCCACGTGCAGAGCAATGACAGGCTATGTCCTTATCTCATACACAAAAATTAACTCTAAGTGGATCGAAGGCCTGAATGTGACAGCAGAAACCCACTCTCTCTTTTTTGTTGTTGTTTTTTTTTTTCCAGTACCAGGGATCGAACTCACCACCTTGTGCTTGCCAGGCAGGCGCTGTGCCGCTGAGCCAAATCCCTACCCCTAAAACCCCACTCTCTTAGAAGAAAACCTAGAATGGACCCAAGCCTAGTGGCGCACGCCTGCCATCCCAGCACTCTGGGAGGCTGAGGCAGGAGGATGGCCAAGTTTAAGCCCAGTCTGAACTACACAGTGAGACCCTGTCAAAAAAACCAAAAAAGCAGCCAGGCATGGTGATATACACACCTGTAATCCTAGCACAAGAGGGGCTGAGACTGGAGAATCAGTGAGTTTGAGACCAGCCTGGGCTATGTAGCGAGTCCCTGTCTCAAAAAACAAAAACAAAACAAACAAACAAAATTTCAGGTGCAACACTAAAAAGAGCTGGGCGTGGTGGCACACACCTGTCATCCCAGTACTTGGGAGGCTGAGGCAGGAAGATCACCACAAATTTGAGGCCAGCCTGGAATCGCATGGTGAGACCCTGTCTCAAAAAATAAAACAAGGCCAGGCGTGGTGGCACATGCCTGCAATCTCAGCGTTCTTCAGAGGCTGAAGCAGGAGGATCGCTGTGAGTTCGAGACCACCCTGGGCTACAAAGTGAGCTCAAGGCCAGCCTCAACTGCATAGCGAGACCCTGTCTCAAAAAGACAAAAAATAAAAAGAAATTAAAAATAATAAAAAACATAGGGCCAGGGATAGAACTCAGTGGCATAAGCGCCTGTCTGGCAAGCATAAGGTCCTGAGTTCGATTCCCAGTATGAAAATAAATAAATAAATATAATAAAAACAAACAAATACAGTAAATAAGAAAAGTAGGCAGGAATGAAGGAATAGATGATTGGTTTATACAAGCCCTGGATGCCATCCCCAGCACTACACAAAAATCAAAAACACATTTTAGGGATTTCAAGGTCGGAGGGTCTCAGTTCCAGGACAATCGTTTCCAAAAGTAAAACTTTTTTTTTTTTTTTTGAGACAGGGTCTCACTGTGCCTTTCAGGCTGGCCTCAAACTCACGGCAATCCTCCTGCCTCAGCCTCTGAAGAGTGAGAGATTACAGGCGTGCACCACCACACACTTCCAGCACTGGGCCATGCAACATCAGGCTGCCTGGCAGGCAGGGGACGGAAGGGATGCAGTGCGATCTGAGGCCTCTGTCCAGCACCTACAGGTGGGAGGTGTGGGAGGCAGGAAGCTCTGGGGGCCCCTGAGCAAAGACTCAGCACTCTTGCTGTTTCCCTCTCTCTTTTGTGGAACTGGTACTTGCACCCACAGCCTTCTCACTGAACTAAAACCCCAGCCCCACCACCCCGCTTGTTTTGAGACAGGGTCTTGCTAGGCTGTTCAGGCTGAACTCACTACATAGCCCAGGCTGGCCTCAAACTCGTGGCATCCTGCTGCCTCAGCCTCCCGCGTGCTGGGATTATAGGTGTGCACCACTACATTGTTTCTGTTTTTTATTGTACTTTGAGACAGGGCCTTTTCTGTTTCCCAGGCTGGGCTCCCTTGCAAGCCTTCTGCTTGCCGCCCACCCCGCTAGGATTACAGGTGTGGGCCGCTGCATCCAATTAGCACTCTATTTTTAATACGCGCCTTTTACCCTGTCCTCATCTTCCGGCTCTTGACACTATGGTGCCCCCTGCTGTGCCAGGCACTGCCCTCCTTAGCAGTCTCCTAAGGACACATCCTTAAGGCACTGCAGAGGACAAAGAAGGTGCCCCCTGTGGTGGCTCAGTCTTTGTTTGATCCACAGCATTCAGTAACTCGATGTTAAGGTTCAGTGGTCTGTGGCCTGTAACTTACAGCAAGCCTGCCTCTGCCTCCCATGGCCGGGATGACAGGCGTGCACCACCATCCCCAGCTCTTGAATTTGTCTTTGAACTGAGACATAACTTGCATAACATGCACGGGACATTTGGGGTTGGTTTTTTTGAGACAAGGTCTCCCTGTGTAACCCAGGCTGGCCTTGATCTTGCAACCATCCTCCTGCCTCAGCCTCCTGAGTGCTGGGGTTACAGGCATGGTCACCCCACCCAGCAGGCACAAGTTTTTAAATGCAAAATTCGAGCTGGGCGTGGTGGCGCACGCCTGTCATCCCAGCACTCAGGAGGCTGAGGCGGGAGGATCGTTGTGAGTTCGACACCAGCCTGGGCTACAAAGTGAGCTCAAGGCCAGCCAGAACTGCATAGCGAGACCCTGTCTCAAAAAGACAATAAATAAATAAATAAATAAATAAATAAATGCAAAGTTCAATGAATAACAGTAAATACACTCAACCATACGTTACTCTTTTTTTGACACATGGTCTCACTATACAGTTCAGGCTAGCTCTGAACTCATTATATATGTAGCCCAGGCTGAACTTGAACTCGTGGCAATCCTCCCGTGTCAGCCTCTGGAATGCTGGGGTCACACGTATAGGCCACTACACCCATCTTAAACCGCATTTAAATTTTCTTTCTTTCTTTTTCTTTTTTTTTTTTTTTTTTTTGTCTTTTTGAGACAGGGTCTCACTATGCAGTGCAGGCTGGCCTTGAGCTCACTTTGCAGCCCAGGTTGGTCTTGAACTCACAACGATCCTCCTGCCTCAGCCTTCCGAGTGCTGGGATGACAGGCGTGCGCCACCACGCCCGGCTTGCGTTTGAATTTTCGAATTTCGGGGCCAGGGATATAGCGCAGTGGCCTAAGCACCTGCCTGACAAGTGCAAGGTCCTGAGTTCAACTTCTGGTACAAAAATAAATAAATAAATAAAGTATGAATTTTCGAATTTCCATTAACTCTGGGGGCCAAGCATGGGCGCCTTTTATATTCTCTTTTATATTTTCCTGCGATAAACCCAATAATGAAACGTAAACGTTACTTGTAATGTTTCAAACATTGAGACCGTTTCCTGGGCACTGTGGGGGTGTAACGTGAGGGAGACCCTGCAACTGAAGATTCCCTCTGGCTCGGGTCCAAGCCTGCCTTAGGGGACCGTGGGGCCGTCGCAGCCTCGGCTTCCTTCTCCGTGGCCGAGGGCGGGGGCAAGGGGCCGTGCGGGCTCAGTTTAAGTCACTGTCAACCGGGTGCAGGAAGCAAGCAGAGACCTAAGCTGTAGTTACTCCGCCGCTACCATCACGACTCCTAAAGCCACTGGGGACCCCCGCTCTACCGCTGGTCACAGCTTCGGGTAAACTGAGGCCCGCTCGCATCGCCGGCTCCCACCCCTGCCGCAGCGCGCCAAGGGCCCAGACCCTGAGACCGCTGCGCACGGCGACACTGACCCGACAGTCCTCGGCGCGGCAGGTTCCGTTTGTAGTCGATGGGGCCGTAGCCCCCCGGCGGGGGCATGTCCTGCTTCACCTTCGCTGCCGCCATCCTTGTGGGACCCCGCACTTCCGGTCCCGGACGGAAGTGACGCGCTCACCCTCCGCCATGCTGAGTGTGGCGGAAGCCGCAGCGAAGGTCTCCCGCGGAGCGATCGGACGGTGGGGCTTGGCTCCGGCGGCAGAGTTCGTGGAGCCCTTATTTGCTGTTCCACCTGACACGGCGAGACTCGGTCATTGTTGGCACCTACAGCCCGCCGGGGTGCTCTCGACCCTGCACCAAAAGCGCTCCCTTCACCTTCCCTCCTTCGTTGCGCGAGGCAGTCAGAAATGCCGAGGGCCCCGGAGCCAGCTTCCCACGGCACGCGCCCCTCTCCCGTTCTCACCCCTCTCGGGGTTCTGCGGGCAGCTGAGGGGTCCTCGCGGTCGCTGGCTGGGCACACGGAGTTCGGGGGACTCAGGAGCAAGCGCTCCCGTCCCGGAGCGGACTCTGCGCCCCGGGGGCGGCCGGTGGCCTCGCTGCTGGCCTCTTGTGAGGAACTGACCGTGGAGCCAGCGAGTCACAAAGCGCGAGGCCCTAGGGAGGAGCCCTGGGTGGGGTCCGGCGGGAGTGACGCCCGCAGTCACTTCACAAGGCAGAAATTGTTACCCAGGCGATACCAGCCGCGGCGCCCGCGGGGTCGGTGGAGTGGGCACATGGGGGCGCGGGGGTGCAGGTGCCGATCGCCATGGGTTAGGCCCAAAATCGGAGTCCGGCCGCTCCCCGCAGCAGCCGCCTCCTGCTCCCCGCGCGCCCCCGGGGCGCCACCATGTCGGGTGACAAACTCCTGAGCGAACTCGGCTATAAGCTGGGCCGCACGATTGGTGAGGGAAGCTACTCCAAGGTGAAGGTGGCGACGTCCAAGAAATACAAAGGTACGGTGGCCATCAAGGTGGTGGACAGGCGACGCGCGCCTCCGGACTTCGTCAACAAGTTTCTGCCGCGGGAGCTGTCCATCCTGCGGGGCGTGCGGCACCCGCACATCGTTCACGTCTTCGAGTTCATCGAGGTGTGCAACGGGAAGCTGTACATCGTCATGGAGGCCGCTGCTACCGACCTGCTGCAAGCGGTGCAGCGCAGCGGGCGCATCCCCGGGACGCAGGCGCGCGAGCTCTTCGCGCAGATCGCGGGCGCCGTGCGCTACCTGCACGACCACCACCTGGTGCACCGCGACCTCAAGTGCGAGAACGTGCTGCTGAGCCCCGATGAGCGCCGTGTCAAGCTCACCGACTTTGGCTTCGGCCGCCAGGCGCACGGTTACCCGGACCTGAGCACCACCTACTGCGGCTCGGCCGCCTATGCGTCGCCCGAGGTGCTGCTGGGCATCCCCTACGACCCCAAAAAGTACGACGTATGGAGTATGGGCGTCGTGCTCTACGTCATGGTCACCGGGTGCATGCCCTTTGACGACTCGGATATCGCCGGCCTGCCCAGGCGCCAGAAGCGAGGCGTGCTCTACCCCGAGGGCCTCGAGCTGTCCGAGCGCTGCAAGGCCCTGATCTCCGAGCTGCTCCAGTTCAGCCCCTCTGCCAGGCCCTCGGCCGGCCAGGTAGTGCGCAACAGCTGGCTGCGCTCGGGAGACTCCGGCTAGGAGCCGGGGTGCCAGGGCTGCCCCGAGCCAGCCAGCCCCGCGCGCGCAGGGAAAGAGCGCCGCTGGGGACTGGCGACCGAGCCTCCGCGGGCCACTGCGCATGCGCGCTCCCCTTTCCCCTCCCCCCCGGCAGGGCCGCAGGTACCCCAGCCCGCCCCCACCCACGGCCCCAGTCCCTCCTCCGTGATTTGGCCCCTAGTTCCTCCTCCGTGCTCCCGAGAGCTGAACGCGCATGTGCGTCCTCGATGCCCCAGGCAAAGGCGCCTCGGGGCGGGAGAGGAGGCGACGGAGGAGCATCGCGCCTGTGAGGAGTGAGCCGTGGCTGGCGACCTTGGAGGGCGCGCGGAGGCCGCCCTGTCCAGCCGGCCACGGTGCCAGGTTTCCGGCTGGAACCTGCAATAAACTCGCTCTTCCTCGCGCCGCACCTGTTTATGCTGGGAGGAAGGGTCGCTGCCGTCCCAAAGCAAGGCAGGCCGAGGTTCTGCCTTCAGGCCTCAGCGGGGCGTTAGGGGGACCCAGGCTCGGAGTCTCCGTGCTCCCCAACTTGGGCAAACCCAAGGGGGCTTCGTTGTTCCTGGGGCCGCGGTGGCGCTGGGCTGCGGAGCAGCTGGACCCGAGACACGACCCCGGGGGAGCTGCGCACTCTGAGCGTCTGCAGATGGGGAAGCTGCGGCCCTCACGGGCGGCGAGTGCTGGCGCAGCTGGACTCGGCTCAGCCGTGCTCAAGTGGGCAGGGAGAAAAACCTCCTCGCGGAGGGCCTGCTCTGGGCAGTTGGAGGGAGTCGGATGGCCCCCCAGCCCCAGCCCAGCCTCCCGGTCCTCCCTCCGGGCTCCAGCCGTGGGCCTGGCCCTGGGGCTAAGGTGAAGCGGGGTGTCCCAGCTGGTCCCGGGAGGAGGCAAGTGAAAGCAGGCTCGGGGAGGAAGAGGATTGAAGCTGCGCGGAGCACCGGGAGGGCCGGGGCTAGAGGGGCAACTCCCGGCTGACTAGGACTCTGCCTGGAGAGGCAGAGGCTTGGGTAGGGCCAGGCACCCCTGCGGCCTGGTAGGGAGGGGCTGGGGGCTCCAAGGGGCGCAGGGGCCGTGGTGACAGCAGCTGTCATCTTAGCTCACCCTGCTCACGGGAGCGCAAACCACCCCTAGCGACCCTTGTCTCAACAAAACAAAGGGGAGAAATGAGAGAAACCACATCCTCTGCCTTGTCCCTGAAGCCCAACCATGCACGGCCCTCGCTGTTCCTGGCCTTCCATGCTTGGTCTCGCCTCCGGGCCCTTGCACAGGTTGTTCACACTCCTGGCATCACTGCCCCTCTCATCACTGGTCTAGTTGGACAAGGTCACTCACACCTGTAATCCCAGCAACTCAGGAGGCTGAGGCAGGAGGATCTCAAGTTTGAGCTCAGCCTGGGCAACTCAGTGAGACCCTGTCTCAAAAGACAAAGGCTAGGAGTGTAGTTTGAGTTCAGTCCTCACCTGTGCGAAAAGTCACCTCCCGTCACCCCATCTGGCTGGCTACCATCATGCCCCCAGCACACGGTGCAGCCCCTGCGGTCTGCCTGCCCAGGAGCAGGGCTCAGGACTCCTGCCATCTGTGCCCACAGGGACCAGAGCCGAAGACCCCCCCGCTCCGCAGCTGGGCCTGTGCCTCGTGGCCCAGGGGTGAGCCAGTGTCAGATAGTAAGGGCGGAGGGCAGGGCCCAGGTGCTCGAGGTCCGGGATCCCCGTCAGTGCTAGATCGTAGGTGCCCATCTGGACCCACTGCGAGCAGTGCTGGACAGGCATGGGTTAGTTTGGTGGCTCTGGCCCTGGGGAGGACCTCAGATCCCAGGCCAGTGTCAAAGCACCTTCTAGTATGACAAGGCTCTGGGTTCAAGTCTCAGTACTAAAAAAAATGCCATAAAGCAATACAACCCTGGTCCTGAACACTCGGGGAAAACAGGGCTCCCATTTTACGCAGAGAAACCTGTACTCCCGTGTGAGGCTGCAGGGCCCCAGGCCACCCAAGGGGCAAACACCCCCTGGGCTCACCCCTGCCCGCCACGGGCTAAATGGGCATGAAGCCTAGGCCAGGGCCGGGCCAGTGGGAGTGGACAACCAGGGGCTCTGGCCCTCCCACCACCCAGAGGGCCCCTCCACCTTCCCTCAAGCTGGGCTAAGCCACCCAGGGAGACGGGCCGAGAGACAGAAGCAAAGCACAGCGACTCCTGGTCCATTCCTTTATTGTCCCGACTCTGAACTTGCTCGCCATACAGCGCACGGCCACCGACGGAGCCGCCAGTGTCTGGAACTTGTTCCGACTGGTGGCAAACATCATTTTACATTTGTCATCAGAGATTTAGAGTCACAATAAATACAAGTGACAACCTCCCCCTCAGAGCCCCCCACCCTGTGCTAGTGTGACCGCCTGTCACACTAAGAATTATAAAACTGCCGTCCTGCGGGGAAGCTGCTCAGTTCAAGATGCCATGCTAAGGTCCTGGGCAGCGTCACTTGGTGCGAGATAAACCCAAGGTGGGGTGGCCACGTCTGCCCAGGAGGGTGCCACCGGGTCACCCGCTCCCCGCCGGGCCCGCCCCAGGGGACACACCCCCTCGATGGAGGTGCACGTCTCGATGTCATCGCGGACTGCTGGCCCCACGCCCTGGCCAGAGCAGCAAGGGCTCCCAGCGCACCCGCCCTGCACCCTCGGAGCCGCTGACTCGGGGCGGTTCCCGGTCACCCCGGGGTTTGTGTCACGGGGAACAGGGACCCTTACGATTGCTACTGTTTGCCTCACGACCAGAGATAGAGCCCCACAGGACTCTGGGGGACACCAGCTGGGTTTTGGGGGTATACTTTGTGGCTGGTGTGATACCCCTAAATTAATGCTGCTCACCCGCTTTCCGGGGTGGCCCCACACCAGCCCACAGGGGCGTTGGGCCAGGCCACCAGCAGGGGCCTGAGTGTCCTCCGTCGCCCACCTGGGGCTTGCTGCACAGGCTACGCTGCGAAGGGGACTGAAGGAAAGACAAGCAGGGGAGGGCTTCCAAGACGCAGAAGCGCAAGATTAAGGCATCTCACATTCTTGTCCCCCCGTACTTCTAAAAAAGCTACATTAAGTCACAGTATGCCGTCCCTCATGGGAGCGAACACTCCCGGGACCGGGCTGGGGGCTGGAGGTGCGGAAGGAGCCAGGGCCCCGGGCACCGTCTCCAACCCTGTCCTGGGTTCACGGCCGGCTGATGGTAGGTCCTGGAGGGAAAAGCTGGAGGCGGGCGGCGACTCGCCCGAGTTACTGCATAGAGCTGAAGGCAGCGGCGCTCGGCCTGGGGGACCGGCCCGCGCCAGGGACAGGGTCAGAGGCTCAGGTGGTGGGAGGCGGGGCTGTCTGCCAGGCACACAGAAACGCGAGGAGAAACGCTTGCATACTTTTTTTTGGTGTCAAAACACTCTCCCCCTTTCCACAGCCAGGCTCCCTCCTGCCCAGAGTCCCTGGCTCTTGGGGTGCGGCCACCCTCCCACACCCCCTCAGTTACACACTCAATGCGGAAGCCAGGGGGAAAGTCGGGACTTGCACAACATAAACCGAGAGCGTTTTCCAAAGCCAGGTCCTCCACTGGGTGTCCGACTGTTCCCCGAGACTGACGACATTCACACTCCGGGAAGGTGGGGTTACATGAGCCTTTATTAGAACGCTGGCTGTCGCAGTGTCTGGAGAACGTCCTACAGAATGAGGGTTTTAAATTAAAGTCCCTAATTGCATCGGTAGGGAACGGGCTGGTGCGGAACCGGGAGCGGCGCCCCACCTCCGCGCGGACGGGCGCTGCGGCAGACGCACGGCAGCTCTGCCTTTCTCACGGAACCCACTTTTAAAGAGCGGGAGGGGAAAGAAACGAAACTAAAGCAGACCTGATCCTTTAAAAAACGTTTCTGTAGACTCTAAAGGGGAGAAAGAAGTCGGAAAGCAAACCCTGATAGCAGCCCCAGCCTGAGGGGCCGGCTCTGGCTACACTGGAGGGCACCGAGCTCCTCAAGTCTGGGGCGCAGCCTGCCCTGCCCTGCCCTGCCCTGCGCCTGCACGACGCCTCGGCAGGGCAGCTTGAGATTGTGTCCATCAGAATAAGTAGAAAGAAAAATTTAATAAAATAAACCACCACCACACGGCCCCGCGCGGCAGCCTCCCCTCGGCTGTGGCTCCCCCCGGCTCCGCCTGGCTGCACACCAACTCTCTCCTGCCCACCGGAGGCGGAGGCAGCAGGGCTTCTCAATCCGGGTCCTGGCGGGGTCTGGCTACAGTTTGTTCTTCTGCTGAGTGTGGGTTTGGGGACTCCAGGGGCCCCAAAAGAGCAGCAATGAGGCTTCTGGTGGGAGTGCGACTGGCATCCCCGTGTCCACGAGCCGCCTGGGCCTGGCCGGCCGCCTTGCGGGAGCAGTGCGCGCGGTGCCCCGCTCCAGGCCGCGCAGCTGCGGGTCCACCCTCAACTCCATCACGAGGTGATTCAAACAGAACAAAACAAACACAACTTTCAACCTATAGATCGGCAGGAAGGGAAGCGAAGATTGGGAGCCTAAGACAGGGAGAAGCGTGAACAAACAAGGCGCCCCGCTCAGCTTCCAAGGCCGGCGCCGGGCGGTCCGTGTCCAGGGTAAGCCGCCAAGCGCCACTGGGCCAGGCAGGGCTGCGACCAGAGCCGGCCCTGAGGTCCATGTTTCTGCTGGTGTCGGGCAAACTAAAGGCAAAGAGAGGAAGGAAGAAAGCCCAGGGGAAGGTCCCTCGGTGCCGACCCTTGTCGCCAGGGGAGCGGCCCATCGCCCCGCCGTCACCAGACTGCAGCCGAGGACAGGACGGCGTCTGCTGCCTCAGGCAAGCGCAGCGTCTTGGCGTCTGGTCGGGCGGCATCCGGGCTGGAGGGCGCCTGTCCTCCACGGGGCCGGGCTCGCACTACTTCCACGTGGCCGACTGCGGAATGGAGCGTGGCGGGATCATGTCGAGGAGGTATTCCCGCTGGCGGTCCACGGCCGAGGACGTCTTGTGCACAGCCAGGCTGGGGCTGACAAACGCGAGGGTCCCGCCTGCAACACAACAGGACGGCTGCAGCGGCCGGGCCGGGCCTAGAGCAAAGGACGGCCTCGGCTCCCCGCGTGGGCGAAGGCCAGAGGGCCAACAGCCACCAGGTGCTCTGTGAAGAGGGCACTGTGACCACGGAGCAGGCACCACAAGCGTAGAAGGGAACAAGCGTAGCCTGGCGACAAGGGTGGGCAGACGCCAGAAGCCACTAAAAACAACCTCACCCGAAAGGCTGGCTTGTGTGCTGTTTGTGCTATCGGGGAAAGAAGCCAGGGTCTTCACCACACCACACCCAACCCCTTTTATCTTTTGAGACAGGGTCTCACTGACTTGCCCAGGGTGGGCTGAGCCTTGTGATCCTCCTGCCTCAGCCTCCCAGAATGCTGGGGTTCCAGTGTGCACCCACCGTGCCCCGCCAGTATCACCCTTTGTAACTGGTGGACAAGGCAGTGGCTTTCACCCGCACTCTCTCCAGTGCCTCGGGCCCCATGATTCTGGGTCTCCCCACGAGCTTCTGTGGGGTCCACACGTCGTTTGTCCTCTGCAGCCGGCATTCGGGGATGGTGCTGCATCCCGTATACACCAAAGCTGTGCTCGGTGACAACTGGCGCCCACAGATTTCATTTCAAACCCCACCTTACAAGCACATGTCCACTTTTCCTTTGCCCGTCCTGTTTTTGGGCCTCACTGCGTGGACAGGACCGTACTGCACGGCCCCTGCTGCACCCCTGGGTTTAAGCAATGCCCCTGCTTCAGCCTCCCACCCAGCAACCCTGCACTGGTCAGTGTGAGCGCTCTGCTTTCCAGGCCTCCAACTCCTCTGCAGCACGCCCAGCCCCACTTCACCCTCGGCGAGGCCGGCACCTGGGCGCACCCCGAGCTCACGCAGCTGGCTGCCAGCTCTGCCTGGGCCTTTCACAACGGCCTGAGCTACCTACTTCCTAGGCCCTTGTTTCCGGTGGGCACATGCAAGTAGTACCCAGCTCACCCCACGTCCTCCCGGAAGTGAGGAAGGGCCCCCACAGGCTTCGCAAGGACGGGGCCTCGGTCTCCCATCCCCACAGCGGGAGCAAGGGAGCCTCTGCCACCGCCCGGCTCTGCACTGGCCCCTCCTGCGGGGAGAGGGGGCCGGGGCTGACCGAGCCGGCACTCCAGTGTGGGGTGCCTGCGAGCATGGGGTGCCGAGCAAGCAGGGCCGGCACCTGTCCCGGGCACCCTGGCAGGTGCGGGAGATGCCGCCAGAGGCGCCGCTTCCCTCGCGCCGCGGTGGGCTCCTCGCGGAGGGGAGCGGGTGGGCGGCAGCGGGCGCTCACCTGCACTCAGGGGCGTCTTCTTCCAGTTGGTGGCAGCACCGCCCTTGGCGGTCCCCGCAGCTCGCTCGGAATGTCTGCCGGTCCTGCCGACCAGCGCCGTGGCTGAGGCTGCGTTCTGCAGTTTGGGCGACTGGCTGAACGTGTGCAGGACGCCTCGGGGCGTGGCGGCCGAGCCCCGAGAGAGCTGGCTGGAGGCCTGCAGGGAGAGGGCACCGGCTCACAGCAAGCAGGGGCGGCGCGGCGAGACGCCTGCTCTGCGCAGCCTCTCCTCGCTCTGGCCGACCTCTTCCCACCCACACGCACGGGTCCCTAGAGTCCAGAATCAGACCAGGTGAGTTACACCGGGGCAGGAACGAGGGAGAGAGAGACAGACAGACGCGGGCAGCGCGACAGCTGCCGGGTGACTGCGGCAGTCAGCGCCCGCGGGGGCTCCCGGCCCGGCGCTGCGGTTCTGACCTGTAGCACAGCCCCGTTACTCCAGTCGCGCGCCTCTCCTGAGCGGAACGCCAGCTTCCGCCGGGGCTTTATGACCTGCACGAACGGGCGAGAGGGGTCAGTGGTCTGTGTGGCCGCCAGCCCAGGTGACCTCGGTAGCACAGGTGACCCTGCGGGACAGGCCCTGCCCCAACAGCAGCACGCTCGCCTGCAGCTTTAGATGCGAAAACGTGTTTAGTGACTTCTGAGGACACAAAAATCACAGCTTCCGGTCTACAGAGGGTAGGAAGGAGAAGCATCAAAAAATAACTTAAAAAAGCCTGACTTGAGACTCGCTTCTCTCCTTAATTCAGCCAAAGCACTTTCTGCTGAACGCCCCTGCTGTCAGCGTGGCTTCTGGGAGTCTTTGCAAACAAGCAGCACTTGTCAGCCAGGCGCTGCGAGTGAAGGCTACAGAATCTCAAGAAACTGCAAATTAGTGTTTTCACCGCCCGACACCACCATTACACCACCATTAAGTGCAATTTAGACGCGCAGTCAGCAATCAGGCGGCTGAGCGCCAGGGACAAGACACCAGGCCACTGCCTTCTGGGGACACTGCACTGCGCAGGGGGGGCCTCACCTGCTTCAGCGCGGGGTGCGGGGCGGCGGCGGGCTCAGCTTTGGCCGCGGTGGGCGCCGGGCCCTGCTGCAGCAGCCGCTGCTCGATCTCCTGCTCCTGCTGCAGCGCCTTGACGAAGGCAGCCTTCAGGCGGCTGGTGTGCTCCACCTTGAGCGCCTTCTTCTGGTTGGACGTCATGCAGTTCTCGCACATGATGGCGCCGCCCTTCTCCTCGCGCCAGCGGCAGGTGAAGTCCGTCTTGCACTGTGCGCACATGTAGGGCTCTCGGGCCAGCACGGCGGCAGCGGCAGCGGCGGCGGCGGCTGCTGCTGACATCCTGCCCGCTGCAGGGACGAAGGGCACCAGTGTCGGGCACCGGCGTCAGGCCCCGCTGCAGCGAGGGACAAGCTGCCACACCAGGGCCGGAGGCCGTAGTGAGATGTGGGACAAAGTATGAGCGCAGCCTGGGCCTCAGACGCCTGGCAGCAACCAGGGCCCCCAAGCTGCAGATGTGTTCTGTCCACCCTGCAGATGCGGGCCAGCCAAGGCCCGCGGCGAGGGAAAACGCCAAGGGTGAGCAGCGCTGTGCCGGCTCCCACCCTGTCCCACCCGTAACAAGCAGCCTTGAGACCCTGGCCTCACACCGCGCCAACAGGCTGCCCAGCCGGCTGGTGCCAGCGAAGACAGGGACCCAGGGCGTCTGCAGGGCCAACGGCTGCACCCACAGGGCCAGGGAGTGCAGACCAAGCACACACCCTGGTCAAGCGCAGCACCGGGCCACTCACTCTCCCGCCCTGCAATGAAGATGCCGCGGGAGGAGGGCAGCGGCAGGAGGGGGCGGGCCTCGAGCCAGGGAGTCCGAGGCTGCGCACGGAGCTCTGGCGGGGCGCGCCGTCTTCTCCTGGCATTCTCTCACCCCGCCCCAGGGTTGCACACCCGGGGCTTTACCTGCCTCTTGGTCATCACAGGGCACGCCTGGCGCGGACGCTGAGGACTCTCCCCTCCCTCACCCGCCTGGCCTGGCCTTCTGCAGCCCTGCAGGAGGCGGCCATGGAGAGGGCGCCTTGTCCCCCAGAGCAGACGGTATGTCAGCTGCCCAAGTTGCCTATTTGAAAACGGCCCTCTCCCTGTATGTGGCCAGCCCTCTGGGAGGAGGTGGACACTGCGTAGGGCCCAGTCATCGCCAGCGCCATGGAGGGGCCTCTTTTAGGTCCCCGTTTCTGCCACCTGAGCACTGAGGGCAGGGGCAACAGGGGTGCTGGTCTGGGGACTGGACACCCACCCCAGCAGGAGTCGCAGAGATCTGGGCCTCCTAGCCAACCTGGCAGGGTCGGCACAGCGCCCGCGCTGGAGCCCAGGCCATCCCGCAGCAGCCCCTGCCAATAGGGCCTGGCAGCAAAGGGCTCCGGACAGGCCAGGCATGTCGGGGCCTCACTCCCCCAGGGCACCCCGCGGCACCAGGGCACACAGGATGACACCCGGCAACAGGCGCCAGGTACAGCTGGGCCGCTGTACAACTCTGAGGCTGGGAAGGCCGGGGCCACTGCTCTGCCCCGGTGGAGGTGCTGCCTGGCGGGGCGGGGCTGCTCAGGCCTGAGCTGAGGGATGGGGCCAAGGCTGAGCCTGCCAGGCCCTGGCGCTTCTGCCACCTAATGTTTCCAGCCTGAGGTGACCCCTCAGGGAGGGCTCCTGGGGGTGTATGAGACAAGAACCTCACTAGAACTCAGGTTCTGGCACTATGGGCTTGGCCTCTGCATCCGGGGAGCAGGTGCCAAGGTAAGGGAGCTGACCCCAGCAGGGGTGGTCACTGCACTTGCCCTGCCAGTTCCTGGGTCTGCAGCTATTTGTCCTCCTGGACCATAGGCCTCGCCAGGGCTGGCTCTCCAGCACAGGGCTGGCTGTGTCCCACTGCACAGCAGGTGGCCTCTACCACACGCCAGGCTGGGCGAAGGCAGAACCTGCCGGTACCCACCTTGCGTCTCCAGCAGGTTCTGCACCACCTCCTCCAGGCCGACCAGGTAGATGAACTCATTGTTGGCGGCGCTGGGCAGGAAGTTCATCTCTGGGGCGGGGGGCTTGGGTGGGGGGATCTCCAGCAGCGTCTTCTCCAGCTGCTTGCGCAGGGCGAGCTTGGCCGCTGCCTGCCGGCTGGCTGGAGACTCAGCAGAGGCAACCACAGAGGCCACGCTGGTGGGCGTGGAGCTGGCCTGAGCGGAGGCAGTCGTCGTCCCCTTCAGAGACGCTGGGGTAGCCTTTGGGGAAACAGTACCCTGGTCAGGGGGCCCGGCGTTCCCACCTCGGGGGGCTCCGCTGGTGCACTGCGGCCTCGGCGTCCACGCCGCAGCCACGCGTGTGACAAGTCCTTTAACAGGAGCCCTGGGGCCCGGGCTGCAGCGCAGTCGTGAGCGCCTGCCCAGCACGCACAGGGCTCTGGCTTCCATCCCCAGCACGGCAAAACACAAAGAAAAGAAATGAGGCGAGTCTGAGCTGGCTGACGTTGGCCAGGTACAAGGAGTCAGTAGGCCACACGGGGCACGGCGTGAGACGCCCTGCCCGCAGAGGCGGGGGGAGCACAGATGGCCTCCACACGCCGGCACCTGCAGACGTGAGCATGCCGCGCACTGCACGCACACCCTCGGCGCAAGGCTGACACCTCGCCCCACGAGTGCCTCTGCCGGGGCACCGAGGCCCGGATGTTTCAGCGTGGCGGGGCAGCTCTGGCCCCACCCTGCCCTGCCTCCAGCTCTGCTCCCACATCCTGCTACTCCTCTGGAGCCCCGTGGCTGACCCCTGCTGGTCTCCATGAGCCCCGCAACTGCTCTCGCCCAAATCTGTCCTCAAGTTTCAGGAAAATGGGACGAGAGCCATGCACCCCAACCCTGGGTAAAGGGGTACAACCAGGGACCTGCTGACAGGCACGACAGTGGGCCAAGGAGCACGGAGGCCTCCACGGCTCGGAGAGGCCAGATGTGCTCCCCAAGCTGGCTGGCACCCGCTCTGCCACTGCCTGCCTCTGCCCACCCTCACAGCTCGAGAATGGCACAGAACAGACAGCTCTCCTCTGCGCAGGGCACCCCCTGCGGGGGCAGGACTGGCTTCAGCTCTGCACATGGGCTCAGGTTAGCAAAGGCAGGGCGGGAGAGGGGCTGCCCAGACAGCCCGGCACCCTCTCGTCTTTGTCTGAGGAAGGCGGAGAGGACAGTCTTGCCAAAGAAGGCAGAGCTCGAGAGAACACAGGCGTCAGCAGAGAGCCCTGCCGCCCTGCAATTTCACCCGTCAGACGGGCTCCTGCTTCCAGCCCGCCCCTCGGCCCAGCCCCCCTCCCGCCCTTCGCTGTCCCCCGGGGGCGGAGGGCAGACCCTCCCGCCTGAGGCTCTGAGGAGGGTGAAGGGACCTGCGGCTGAGAACAGATGCGCTGGCGCTGTGCAGCATCACAGACGTCGCCCTGCCCGAGCCCACGCTGCCGACAGGCCCGCGCGAGGAGGCGTGAGATGGGCCCTGGTTCACCTCAGCAGCCGTCCCCTGTCCGCGGCTCCCCACCTTTGCCATGTGGCCCTAAGGCCCCAGCCGAGGGGCTCCAGCCCCTCTCCCGGGGACATCAGAGGCTCATGTGGACCAGACACGCGCTCCCCCGGGTGCCACAGCACCCCGAAGACTCCCCACTCTCACCTCCACACGGACCCCACCTGTGGGATGTTGACGAGCAGACTGGCGTTGGGGACGTTGGCCACACGGATGAGTCCCTGCTGGATGATTCTCTGTCCCTGAATTTGCACGCTGGGCATGGAGGCGCGGGGTGCCAGGAGAAGGGGGGGCGGCCCCGTGCTGGAATGTTGTCTGATGTTGTGGATCTGCTGCGGGGAGGGCGAGACAGACACTGACTGAGACAGGCTGTGCAGCCGCTGGGCAGGGCGGCGCCACCTCCCGCAGATCCGGCCGGCCTGGCCACGGGCTGGCCCTGCGTACCTGGGCCCCCCTGACGAGCGGGGGCATGACGACCTGCGAGCTGGCCTGCGGGCCCAGCTTGGAGGACACCTGCTGCCCACCACGGACCAGGGGTGGTGGGATGACGCTGCCCGGCATTCGGGAAGAGGTCTGTCAACGACACCAACGCCCACATTTACCTGGCTTTTTCTTTTTATTATTTCATTATTATTTTTGTTTAACTGGCTTTTGGCTTTTTTAATTTTAGAAAAGTAGAATTCTACTTTAAAACTAACTAGGTAAAATGTGTATTTATCCTAAACGCAAACACTGCTACGAGCTCAGACACCGGGGCTCTTGCAGGAGCGCGTTAGGGCCGTGTGGCGGTGAGACGCCGGCAAGCGCCAGCCGTGCCCCAGGGACAGGGAAGGCGCTCTGGGGCTCAGCCTTGGGGGGGCAGAGGTGTCACCGGGGCCCCGCCAGCTCTGCGACATCAAGCATCGGCCTGGTCTGGGGACCCGCACGCGGTTCTCTCCCGACCGCAGCCGGAGCAGAGCTGCGGCCCCCGGCCAGCACGCGGAGGGTCACTGACCTGAAGCGATGTCTTGCCGGCAGGAAGGTTCTGGGTGCCCCGCACGAGCGGCGGAGGAGTGGTCACAGCGCTCCCAGCGGAGCCCGTGGGCTGGGAGAGAGAGACGCGCGGCGTGAGGCCCAGCAGGTACTTCCGCCGGCAGAGGCCTCGCTCCCTCCTGCTCCGAGCACACCAGCTCTCCAAGGTTCTGCCACCAGCCTGGCAACCGGCCCTCTTGGCGGCAGCCGTGGGGCCGCTGCACGGGGCCCAAGGCAAGGCTCTCCAGCAGACCCACCCTCAGCACCCCTGGCCCCGGGGCCAGCCCGCCCCGCTGGGGGGAGACGCCTGGTGATGGCCACGGCTGAGGCAAAGCCTGGGCCTGCGCGCCGAGGACGGAATCCAGGGCCTCGCGCGCTGAGCCGCCCGCCCTCCCCAAGCCTTCAGAGCCGGGTTTAAAGTCCCAAACTCCCCGGGAGGAGACAGTGACAGGCGGCTCATGTTCCCCAGTCTTCAGGGAGCAAAGTCCTCAGCAACCTCTGCCCAACCCACTTGCGCTGATTTCCGCGTGCCAAGGATGGGGACTGAAGCGCACGGGAGGCAACTGCGCCCGCAGCCAGAGCCTCCGCGGGGCGCTAGGAAGCCTACCGCGCGCCACCACGCGCCACCACGCGCCACGCGCCGGACCCCACAGGCGCAGCGCAGCGGAACCGAAGGACTCAGGCTCCCGGGGAAGGGCTGGGAGTCAGGTCCTGCTAGGCTCGGGGGCTCGGATCTGAGGGACCTGGGGCAGGCGCATGGCACAGAGGGTGGAGATGCCAAGGTACAGCCCACAGCGGGCACTGCCGAGGGCCCAAGCGCTCCACACCGACATGCTCTGCCGCTCGCCCAGCCCAGGGCGCGCCGGTACCCACACTCAGCGCTGCCCCACACCTCCCGAAGGGGACCCCCCGCAGCCTCGCCTGGCACCAGACTGCGCCCGCATGGCAGCGCACCTTCTGGGCGGTGGCTTCCTTTTGTATCTGACTCTGCCGGAGCTTTTTCAACAGAACAAGTTTCGCTTCTTCTAGTCTTAGCTCTTCTTTCAGCTGCTTGATCATCCTTTCCCGCTCCTCAGGACTACTTTTCTGCAAGAACGAAGCACAACAATTGGGCAGCGCGCTCGGCAGCGACCCTGGCACGCGTGCGGGGCCTCCTGAGCGAAGCTCACCATGAGGGCCTCGGTGCTGGTCTCCTTCAAGGCCACCTTGGTCAGCCCGTTCATGCGCGGGCTGGAAGGCTGCTCGCTGTCAGAGAGCACGATCACGTCGGGGGAGGGGGGCCTCCTCTCAGACTTCATGTCGCTGTGGGCAGAGACAGCGGGGTTAACGGAGCTGAGCGTCCGAGTGCCAGAGCTGGGCCGGTGCCCGCGGACGTGCAGCAAGCGGGGCGTGTCCTTGCACAGGCTCGCCACACCCACGTGCCCAGGCTGTCCCCTCACTGCAGGCAGCACGAGGCCCCACGGCCCCGGGCTGAGGACGCAGGTGCCGAGCGCAGCGTGGCGTGGTGCTGGGTAAACGAGCGCCGCCCCAGTTCCCAGGCCTGGCCTGGCCGTGGCCTTAGTTGGCACCCCGTACTAGGTGTGATGGGCTGTGTGCACACCCAACGCCAGAGGCTGCCACCTACCTACGCTGGACGCCATCTGACGGGGAGCTGCCCCCGACACCAACCTTTCTGCTCTGCTCAGCCCAGGCCTGCGGCGGCCTCAGAGGCCCGAGCACCTGCGCGCGCTGCGGGCCCCGCCTCGGAGGGCAGGACGCACGGCTGCGGCGGTGACGAGCTCCGACACCGACAAGAACGTCACCCGGCACCTGGGCGCTGCCCCCGCCACCCGCTCAGGACCGGTGCCCCTCGCCGCCACACTGCCCCACCCGCCAAGCCGTGCCGGTGCCTCTCGTCACCGAGGCCGGAGCCCTCCTGCTCCTGCTCGCGGCCTGCTCTTTGTCACTGACAAACTTCGGCCCCCACTGCGGGCTGAGCAGTGCCGGGGTGACCGGGAAGCCCCTGTGGCTCTTCGGTCACTTCCAGCAGGGTTCAGTCACAAAGGTCTTCGTGGGCCATGGTTTCCCAGACTCTGGCTCCAGCGAGCGTCCCTTCCTGCAAACCTGCACAGGACACTGCTAACCCGAGCGCGCGCAGGCTGACGCTTGGTTACCCTTTCTGTGACGCACACGCTAGGGCACACACACACTCGGGTGCCCTCAGGCACAGGCCGCACCAGTGCTACACTGCCACCACCTGACACACGGCGCCGCGGGCTTCTGCCCCAGCCACGAGGCCCATCTGCAGTGACGCACAGCACGCTGTCCCTGAGGATTCTCGCTGGGCACTTGCTCTGGAGAAACCACGAAGGAAAAGCAGCTGAATACACAATTTGTCCGCTAGGTGGCACTGTGATCTGCAGGACAAACTTGGCTGAAGTTAGCTGGAAGTCACAGCTCAAAGTTGTCCCTGCTTTGTCCACTACTCAGAGTGGGGACATCGCCGCTGGTCTGCTCGGCTTCACGGCGCACAGCCATCGCTCTCCCTGACCTTGAGACCAGGGCTGCCTCCTGGACTGGGAGCCGCAACTGCAGCCCTCCTCATCCCAGCCCCAGAGCACTCCTCCGGCCTGAGTTGGATTTAACCAGCCCTGTACAGCGGCCAACTTGACGGCCACGGGGCTGGGGGCAAGGCAGGAAGGGGCCGTGCTGAGTCCACAGGGAGGTGATAAAGTCGCCCTCCCATCTAAGTTGAGGCTCCCCAAGCCACTGGCAGGTCTGTGTCTCCGCACTGATGGCCCCATGCCGCCCAAGATCGACTTTCAAGGTGAGCCGGCAGCTCCAATTCCAGGTTCCCTGGATGCAGGCAAAGGCGAAGCACCTCAAAGGCGGGGGACCCACGGGTCTAGTACCAGGCCACAGCCACTGCGCACCCCTAGGTGGGCTCCTGGGCGGGCGGGCAGGCGGAGAAGCAGGGCCAGGGGGCACATGGAATAGTTGTGTGAGAAAGACATGCTGCCCGGGCCACACAGGGTGGTGACAGGAGGACCCACCAGAAGCAACAGCTGTCCTCGTGTGAGGGGAGGATGTGCGCCACTCACAGAGGGGAGAGGCCTCACGCAACCTGGGTCTGCGTGGGGCCAGAGGGCAGGGTGGGGACAGAGAGGGCCCAAGCGGAAGTTTCCTGTGAGGGCCGCCCTGACCTCTGTGCTCCCTGTCCTAGCTTGGCCTGAGACTGATCAATAACTTATCCAAGAGATGATATCTCCGCCCATCAATGATCACTCAGCATCCTAGCAGCCAGCAGGGAGTGAACTTCCTGTATGCTAATCAGGCCACCAAAAAGTCATGTGACAAAGGCATTTCCCTCCTTGGTCATGTGACCCTTTAACTGTGCCTTCCAACGTGAAAACCATGGCAACGGGCAGTTCTAACTGGTTTGTGACACACAGCCTTCATTTTGAAAAGGGAGGTAAGAGTTCAGGTGCTGTCAGAAAATGGAGGCGCCGGGCTCCCCGGGCTGCAGCCATTTCCTGTGTGGCACCAGCCCACAGAGACTGTGCTCGAGTCCCAGGCCCTGGGTCACCTCTCGCAAGCCCAGAGGTGGCCACCAGCCTGCCTAGTTTCCGAAATGAAAAACTTTCCCTAATCTCAATTTTTTTTTTTTTTTTTTTGCGGGGGGTGGGGTGGGGTGGGGGCGATGACTTCAAGATTCTTAGTACTGTACTTTTCTGGACAGTTCTTAATGGGGGGGAGGGTGGTTTAGAATGATTCCAAGGATTCTTTTAAGAGGAATTTTAAAAAAATTACAAAAGAACACTTCAGGCCAGAATAAAAGCAGAGGCAACCTAGCCCAGTGTGCTGGGAGGGTGCGTGTCCACTCCAGCCAGCCACGGCCTTCCACCACGGGCCGCTGACGCAGGCACCAACTTCTTTATTTGGAAGCTATGTGTATTTCGGGGCAAATCTGATAAACTAATCCCACCTGGCCATCTTTGCAAACTCTTACTAAAACAGTGCTCCAAAGAGATTTTACGTGACCTACAAAGATCCCTGGAAGCAGGCCGGGCTTCTATCAGCATCCACAGTCTCACGCAGCACTAGCAACTGAGGGACCCACCGGAGCATCTGCAGAGCTTCTGGAGGGAGGCAGGACTGTAAATGTCGACTGCCGCACGGTGCCACCTGCACAGGTGATGGCGCTGGCTGCTCAGCCTCAGAATTCATACTGAGCACCCCTTCACCTGCGCTGGGGTTAGGCATCTCATCAAGCAAATGCAGAGCTGTCTCCAGGGCTCAGACCTTCACGGTCCTCAGAACAGGCTGCGTGTGGCCAGAGAGGGTACACCTGACCCCACTCACTCACTCGCCCACCTCAGCCAAGAGCCCACGCGAGCAGTGGGAGCTGCACCAGGTGGTGGAGAGAAGCTGCATCGGAAGCAGCTTTGTACTTTGGCTCGGTCCATTAAGATGCACAGGGCAAACACAAGCCTAGGCAAGTCCATACGCAGGAGGCCCCTGCAGTCATCCTGGGGCGAGAGAGAAAGCCCTTAAGAAAGAATGGCCAGAGACACACCTGGGGGAGCTCATCTAGGAAGCGCAACAGGTTAGAGGAGCACAGCGCACACCTGCAGTGGCCCATCTGCCCTCTCTTGGGCTGTACAAAGTCGCAGACAAACATCCTGACAGCCACCCCAGCCACCGTGGCCACAGCCAGCCTCTCCTGAGCGCACAGACCGAAGCCTCCCACGTATGCAGGCCCTGGGACTAGAGATGCTGCTCAGGACAGGCTGGCGAGCCTGCAGGGCCACCTGCTCCCTGCACCATGCACGACTCCCCTCCCCAGCCAGACCCCTCAGGCGAGGCAGCAGGCAAGTGGCTGCGAGGGTGCTGGGGTGGGGCCCTACTGGACCCTTCCATACTCGCTCACCTTGGTCCCCCCAGGCCGACCCGGGCGCTCCGACCTCCACACACAGTGCCTGTGGAACCCCTCTCCCTCCGTCCACCACACACCCCGGCCCCCGTGAGCCCCATCACCCTTCACCACTCAGTTCCAACCACCCCTGCCTGCCTACACCCTGGCCCCGGGGTGGTGAGCGGGGCCCCATGCGCACGGGGACCCCAGCAGTGCATGCCCCGCAGCACGATGGGGAAGCCCTCTCAGCACCACCACCCTCCCCAGGGATCCGCTGCAGGCAGCACAGGCCGAGTCCAGGCCCGTGCCTTCCCAAGGCGCCGCCCAGATCTCCATGCTCCCCCAGGAGCCAAGAGCCTTTGCTCCCAAGGCATCTGCCTGGTGACCCCTCCCAGTGGCCCTCTCCCCCTCCCAGGAGGGCTGCCCCTGCATGGGCCAATCTGTTCCCAGGGGACCGAGAGCAAAGGCAAGGGGGTGGGGTGGGGTCAAGGCCCGGGGATGACGAAACATGTGCCTCTCCAGGGCTGGAGGAGCGGGCCTGCCCCCAAAGGCCCCGGGGCCTTCCATCCCAGGCCCAGGCTCTGCTCACTCCTGAGCTGCCCCCGCAAAGATGCAGGCCTGCAGTTCCCCAGGGCATTTGGCTGTGGAGAGCCTGCTGACCTCGCTAGGACACCAGGGTCCCTGGCTTCCTCCTCTGGTCTCTGGAAGAGACAGGTCTCCTGGGCTGCCTGGTGAGGGGAGCTCTATGCCCACAGGTGTGGACTCCCTGGGCAGCTGCCCCTCACCCAGCCCAGTGCATACATGAGAGGCCCCCTGTAGCTGGGCCTGGAGGCTCCCGGGTAGGGCACCTGCACCAGACCATCCGCTCCCTCTCCACAGCCAGCAGGGCCCCATCTTGGAGGATCCTAGGCAACCCCGAAACTGCCAGAGCACCACACCCCGGAAGGGCCTCAACGGACACCCAGGCAGGACGATGACCTCGAGCTCGGTGCAATGATCCGTTCAGAGGGACGCTTCCTGGGCTCCCTGACTCTGAGGCTGAGCAGACGAGGCAGCGAACTGGCTCGGCCTTGCAGCTCCTGAGCAGGGGCGGAGAATGTACTGACTGAACAGGCGACCAGAGAGCTTCCCGCAGGTGTGCAGAGCAGACAGCCTGGCGGCCGGGGCTCCAGGATGGGGTCTGAGCTCAGAGGAACCCCTCGACTGGCACCCCTGCCCTCATGGGCAGCTGCTTCCCAAAGCACAGGACATGGGGCTGCTGAAACAACGCAAACCCACTTCAAAGGATTTCCAAACTACACTGTTCTATGTGCTGCTAATAAGCACAGACCCTGAAGTCCGAGCGCTGTCTGAGTTCAGGCGCTTCTGTGGGGACCAACAAGGAGCCCCAGCACTCAGGACTGACAAA